GAAAAGAAGTTGGCAGAGTTAAGCATAAAAAGGTAGCACAAAGCGGGTTGTGTTGATTAAATACTTTGACCTGGTTGTTCTGTTGGTTACATTGTTCTGGGGTATTTTCTAAACATCAATAAACTCTCCAGTCCCTGTGTGTGGGCTCATGCCTGTAATCCTAGCACTCTGGGAGGCTGAGGTGGAAGGATTACTTGAGCTCAGGAGTTCAAGATCAGCCTGAACAAGTGCGAGACCCGGTCTCTACTAAAAATAGAAAAATTAACTGGTATCCTATAGTCTGCTACTCAGGAGACTGAGGCAAGAGGTTGCTTGAGTTTGAGGTTGCAGTGAGTTATGATGATGCCAATGCACTCTACACAGGGCAACAGAACAACACTCTGTCTCAAAAAATAAATAAGAAAAATGAATAAATAAAATTCTCCAATTTTCCCACACCAAAGTGGTGTCCTGCAATTCAAAAGTACTCCAAGTTAGTGCAGACTCCACAAACTTAAGGGTCTCAGTTTGCCCCACTTCAGATGCTGGTTACAAGTCCTTGGCACCTGTACTTCTGACTGGCTATAAATCGTGATTACCATGACCCTGCCTCAGGTTTCCTAAAATGGCTTACAAAACTTAGGAAAACAGTTTCTTACATTGACTAGTTTATTACAAGGGAAAAAAAACAAACAGCCAGAGAAAGAGGTACATAGAACATTTGGTAGAGTCTGGGGCTCAGGAGCCTCTGTCCCGCCATGGGAGTTAGGGTTCAAGACCCTCCAGTCATGTGCACATGTTCATCAGTTTGGAAGCTTTCTGAAGCTTATTGTTCAGGAGTTCAATCTCCAGTCTTCCTCCTCCAGGAGGTGAGGGGGATGGGACTGAGAGTTCCTCTTGTGATCATTGAACTTGCTGGTGACCAAGCTGCATCCTGAGGCTATCTAGGGGCCCCATGTGAAGGTCACGTGTTATTAGCTACTTACTTAGGTGTGATTAAAAGGGCTTGAATTGAATAACAAAAACACTCATCGAAATTCCAAGAAGGTTTTAGGGTCTGTACTAGGAACCAGATATTTATGCTCTCTTGGCAAACAAGCTGAGACTTCCCGAGGAGGGTCTGCTCAAATTCAGTGGATGCATGGAGTTTCTCAATTTTCTGAGTCCTCTGATGCTTAAAGATGTGGAAGTTAGCATCAACAGACTTTTTACTTTCAGGGAATTGAATATTTGTATACATATGTTCATGTTTACCATGTAGAAGGGTTTTCTCACCTCCACTAAACTCAATAGAGTTATTTGTTTCATGTCTTCTTTTCTGGTTGACTAAACTTAAACATGATTTCACAGTTTGTCTGCATAAGTCAAACATATCACGATTTTGCACTAAGGGCAAATGTGTTTTGCTCAGATGAAAAATATTTCTAAACGCATTCTGTTCACTGCATTGTCGCATGCTCCTCAGAAATCTTTGGTTTGGAGAGTATATTTGCAGATAACTGTGAACTTTTCTGATTCCTAAGAAAAAATAGAATAATAAAATCTTTTATGAGAATGGTATGGAATAAAAATGCTTACAAGATGAATTAGTGAGGGCTGGCTCTTTGTTTTCAACTGTTTGACCCCAGTATAAAAGAAAAGTATAAAAGATGCAAGATGAAATAAATAAGGACCAAATCCAAGAGGACACAAAAGGTAATATTTAATGCTAAATACCATTTTTTAAAAGTTCTCCTATGGCAAGATAAATATGTGGAGGAGCTTGTTAGGTAGGTTTCCTCACATGCTTTAGAGCTGTGATACTTTCCCTTAATGACTAGAATAAGACTTCCATAGTCACTGCCCTTGCTGGTTCTCACTAACTCACCTGAACTATTCTGGATTTTATCTTCTAATATCCATGGTTCTTCTTGTGGCAACTTGGACAGTGCATCTGGGTTGCTAGCTTGATACCCTGTTCATGGTAAAAGATGGCACAAATACACTGAATTGAAGTACAGTATGTCAAGAGTGAAAAATAATACATTCGATGAACAAAACTATTTTTCATATGCAAAGTGAAAATGCTCTTTCAGAATAGAAGAGATTATATTGTTTTATTTGGGGCCAGAGAAGGAACTGAAAATCTAATACTTCAGAACACTACAGTGACTACAAAGCTTTCATTAGGTGAGAAAAGAAAGGTCAGTGTCTGGCACCTGCTAGATGATACAGGGGAAATTTCCTTACCCAGTGACACCAAATGGTTATAGTTCTCCAACATCACATCCCAGTACAGGTCCTTCTGAGCAGGGTCCAGGAGCTGCCACTCCTCCCAAGTGAACTCCACAGCCACATCCTCCAGTGTAAGAGATTCCTGTAATAACAAAATCCTATTGAATAAGATATAAATTCCTATTACTAATATAGAAGTATGAGTGAAATTTTTGTGATTTTCACCATACAGCCTGTACCTATATTCTCTTCCCAAACACGTTTTGGTAGGAGCAAAATCTTATATATACGTTTTCACACCTATTTCTAAATATTAAACATGTACAAATAACATCCAGACAAAAAATTCCTACATTAATTACCACTGACGTCACAGCCAATATGAAGATCAATGATTAAGTGACTCCACATCCTGAATCCATAAAATTGTATTTTTAAACAAATGTAAAAGAATATAAGAAACCATACAGTGTATGTCTAAACAAAAGATTATTAAAGCTGATTAGAAAAATGTGGGTTGAGGGCTGGGCGAGGTGGCTCACGCCTGTAATCCTAGCACTCTGGGAGGCCGAGGCAGGCGGATTGCTCCAGTTCAGCAGTTCAAAACCAGCCTGAGCAAGAGCGAGACCCCGTCTCTACTGTAACATAGAAGATATTATTGGCCTAAAAATATACAAAAAATTAGCGGGCATCGTGGCGCATGCCTGTAGTACCCAGCTACTCAGAAGGCTAGAGGCAGGAGGATCGCTTGAGCCAAGAGTTTTGAGGTTGCTGTGAGCTAAGGCTGTGCCACGGCACTCACTCTAGCCTGGGCTACAAAGCGAGACTGTCTTCAAAAAAAAAAAAGAAAAAGAAAAATGTGGGTTGAAAAAAACCTTGTACAGAAACGAGCGCATTAATGATACTAATGATAAGTACATGCAGTACACAGAAGGATTAGTTGTGAAGTGATATATGAATATTGTAGTAGTGTTAAATGTGGAAATTACAGAAAATGCAGTACAGAAAAAAGGTCGATAAGCCGAAGAATTTAGAAATATAAAATGTAGAGTCACTCATGGGTACGCGTGCTCAGCTGTAATCTGCTGTTGGGAGCTGAGCGTGCGTTGTGCAAGGTCAGGGAGTTCCAAACCGAGCGTGAGCGGGCGAGAACCCGTCTTATATAAATAGAGAATTATTGGCCAACTGTAATTTATATAAATTAGCGAGTGGCCACATGCCTGTAGTCCCGCCTTACTCGGGAGGCTTGGGGCAGAAGGTATCACTCGGAAGCAGGAGTTGCAGGTTGCTGTGAGCTAGGCCTGCGCCACGGCCGCACTCACCTCTAGCCTGGACAAACAAGCGAGATCTCTTGTCTCAGCAAAAAAAAAAAAATCTATATGTTGCTTACTATAGTTCTGAAGGGAAGATAACCCCAACAATCCAAAAAAAAAAGAAAGAAAAAGAGATATAGAGAGAAAATAGAGTAATGGAGAAACAACATCCAAAGATCTAAATGCTGAAAAATTTCAACACTGATTATCCAACACCTCAAATCTCATGTTCAGGAATCCCAACAGATTCCAATGAGAAAGTCACAACTGGTATGACTGACACATCTGACTGAAACTGAAATATGCCAATTACAAAGGGAAAACTACAAAAGCATCCAGAGACAAAAGACAGATTACCTACAAAGAAATGACAATACTTAATGATAGCTGACTTCTGAATAATAGAATCTACAAAAGTATGGAATACTATCTTCAAAGTCCTAGTTCTCATGTCAAAAAAGGCCAGACATGGAAGCCATTAGGGACTGAAACACATGACCTTACAACACTGACATTAGGGATCTGCTTGTCAACTACACTGCCATTCTCCTCCTTCAAAATAACTTTTCAGAGAACTGCAGGGTGTGAAGTGTAAAACTAAACTCCAAGAAAATATTGATGAGATAATCTAACCCTATATTATTGTGAGGGATGCTGCATAGAAAAGTAGGCTCAGGTGCAAAAGCTCAAACCTGGTTAGCTTACCTCATTGAAAAGTATGTTATGTGAGATATCTACCCACTGGGTAAAACAGTAAAGTTAAATTCCTACCTCACTCCACAGTTGTTGGGGACTGACATATATTTTCCTAGTTTAAGAATTAAAATTAAAATTAAAAGGGAAGCCATTCAGTGATGTAGAAATTGTGAAAGAATGCATTGTCAAAGTTGTAGGATGCTTAGACTCTAATAATGTTTCAAAGTACAAACAGCTGCCTCTTTCAAGGAGAACCATAAGTGATCAGCAACACGAATTAGCTTTAACTTAACAGAAGTTCATGCAATATTTCAAAAGGAAAATATATACTATTCAATTGCTTTGGATGAATCAACTGATACTAACTGAGGGGTCCTCAAACGTTTAAAACAGGAGGCCAGTTCACTGTCCCGCAGACTGTAGGAGGGCCATTGGAGACTGCGGCACACATTCCACACATGCGCACTGTGGGCCTGGGAAGAGTCGGCTGCTAAGCAGGATGGGCAGAGGTGGCAAAAACACCTGACGGGCAGGATAAATAAATGTCCTCCTCGGGCCACATGTGGACTACGGGCCATAGTTTGAGGATGCCTGTACTAAGCCGGTGCAATTACTTCATTCGGTCATAACAGAAAATTTTGTACTTCATTTCAGTCACAACAGTTTTTCTTTGCTACAAGGAGTTACTCACTTTGGGTACTCTCGTGAACAGAACACAGGGAATAGATATCTTCAACAATTTAACTTTTAAGATAAATGTTGTGAAGTTGTACTAAAATTTGGTAAATTTAGTGAGTGTATGCACAGACAGTACACCTTCCAGGACAGGAAGACATAAAGGGTTTATTCCACAGATAAAGAAAAATATTAACAGATCCAGATGCTCTCATTTCTTTTCATTGTTATCTTGCATCAGCAAAATCTCTGTGTGAAAGCTACTACTTTAAGTGACACTTAGCAACAAGTTATAACTATCTTTAACGGTATTTATACATGTTAAATCTTATGAAGAACAGAATCAACAATGTGAATTATAAAAAGATTTCTGTAGGCATGCAGCATTTCTGTGTGATATGGTATCAAATCAAAACGGCCTGAGTATTTCTTTGGAAGGTAAAACTAAGTCTATATATGATATATGGCAAAAACATCCAAGCATTTCGAATAAAAGCTGTCTTTTTACAAAACACTTCATATCTTCAAAAGGAAATTTCAGATGCACATTTTCCCCAATTAGCAAAGGTCATTGATGAGCAGGATGACATATGCGAATCATTTGAAGAATACGCAGCTGTTATAGACCTATTAATTGGAGAATACAATGAAAGGTTCACTGACTTTGAGAATCCTGGCATCACACTCAAATTAGCATTTCAATCTCACCTAGTTGATATCACCAAGGCACCTAAAGAACTATAGATGGGATTGATTGAGCTCTCACAGTAGGTGACATTTTAAAGTCATTGTCTGATGCTAAGAAAGATCCAACTGAAATATGGAAAAATGAAGTAGAATACCCCAACGCCTTTGGCAACATGCCCCCAAAATGCTCTTGCTTTTCAACCACTTATTGCTGCAAATCTACATCCTCCTACCTAACCCAAATCAAGACATCCTTAAGGTCACAAATCACTGATACTCATCTAGAAGATCAACTGAAACTGTGGATACCTCCATGCTGCAACCAAATGTTCAAATGTTTTCCAACCAAAGGCAGACACAAAGTCATTAAAAGGTTAACTTTAAAACTAACAAAGTTTTCATATTTATAAATTATTAAGTACATAGTGGGTAGACTTTTACAAAATAATGTACATTTTTAAGTATATCTAATTCAAGTTTCTTGAATGTGGCCTTATTTGATTGCAGCTAAATTAATATGGCCTTCCAACATGAAAAGGTTCCCCACCCCTGCACTTGACTATAGCCAAAGGATACAAATCAGAACCAGCTTAAGACACAAATGCTTAGGGTAAGGTCTGGGAAGGTTCCAAACACAAAGCTACTGATTGTCCTTTCCTCACAAAGTCCTGGATGCCATCACCTCTCCCTGGCTAGGGGGTATTAGAATACTCAAGAATATTGCCAACCAGTGAAGCTCACCCAAAGTCTGGTGTGCAGAGATTTGAGAATTTATTATATAGGCACAATTTATTGAATCATTGGCCACACAGCTGAATTCAATCTCCAGTTCCCTCCCTTTCCTGAAGGTTGGACTGATATTATATGGCTCAAAGCCACAACCCTTGGCCAGGCACAGTGGCTCACGCCTGTAATCCTAGCACTCTGGGAGGCCGAGGCGGGCAGATCACTTGAGGTCAGGAGTTCGAAACCAGCCTGAGCAAGAGCAAGACCCCGTCTCTACTATAAATAGAAAGAAATTAATTGACCAACTAAAAATATATACAAAAAATTAGCCAGGCATGGTGGCACATGCCTGTAGTCCCAGCTACTAGGCAGGCTGAGGCAGGAGGATCACTTGAGCCCAGGAGTCTAAGGTTGCTATGAGTGAGGCTGACACCACGGCACTCACTCTAGCCTGGGCAACAAAGGGAGACTTTGTCTCAAAAAAAAAAAAAAAAAAGCCCAACCCTTGAATCACACAGTTGGTCTTCCTGGCATGGAAAGCTCCAATCCTGAGTAATGGCATTAGCATAAACTATCTAGGGGCTTACCCTGAGTCACCTCCTTAACATGAAGTATGGTCCCAATGGCCCATCATTAGGAACCAAAGATAAAGACCAGCCAAATTCTTTACTATATATTGGGTATTCATGCTTCAGTGTAGTATAATCCTCGAGTATCAACTAATCTAGTAACTCGTTTCTAAAAAAAAAAGAATACATGATACAGCAAATGCGATGAGATGCCACTTTAAGACTACGCACTATATGACTTCCATCTTGCTAGCAGAATCTGTTCTTTGCTGGCTTAGATGAAACCACTTGACATGTTGGGGAAGGCCATGTGGCAAGGAAGTAAGGGTGGCCTTAAATGGACAGACAAGTAGAAACTGAGGACCTCATTGGAACAGCCTTATTTGTCACTCTGGAAATGAATCCTGCCAATAGCCACATAAATGAGCTCAGTGCATCTTTTCCCATTTGAGCCTTCAGATCAGACTCCACCCTGGATGACACCCTAATTGTAGCCTCATAAGAGATTGTGAAACAAAGTACACAGCTAAGCCATGCTCTGATTCCTGACCCAAAGAAAGATGAAAACTGTATGTTGTTTCAAATCATTAAGTCTTAGAGTCATTTTTTTGGTATCAATAGATAATATACATACAACATAAACTTTAAAAAAAGAACTTATGAAAAGAATAGAAGAAAATATGTTTGCGATACAAGTAAAAAGCCAAAAGGAAAAAGACTGACATCTGCAAGAGAAAAATATTATGAACAAGTTAAATGATATGACTCTGCAAAAATATTTGCTACATATAAAAGGATCCATATCCACTCAAGATAAACAACTATAGATCAGTAAGACTTAAAAAATTTAATTGAACAAACACTGAGGATCACTTATCACAGAAGAAATAATCCAAAGGAGCAACAAGACAAGAAAGATCTGAATCTCACTGGTGAAAGGAAAAATGCAAAATAAAATAAGGCAAAAGAATACTGAATGATACAGATTGTGGAAAATACGCAATCTGATAACACAGTTAAGTGTTGGCAAGATGTGGAGCAATGGATTCTCCAAACACCAATTAGATGTTCAACAATTCAATTATATTCTAATACTAACTACCTGTGTCAGATTCCAGAGATTTAAAGGTACAATCTCACAAGACTGCCCCCTTTTCAGATGTCAGTTACAAGTCCTGAGCCCCAATGTTTCTCAGCCACCAGCTATAGATTGGAGGTTAACCCAAGCCCCACTCAGTTTCAACAATTTGCTAGAATGCCTCACAGAACTCAGGGAAACACTTCTCTTATGGTTACTGGTTTTTATTTTGTTGGGTTTTTTTTTGAGACAGAGTCTCACTTTGTTGCTCAGGCTAGAGTGCCATGGCGTCAGCCTAGCTCACAGCAACCTCAAACTCCTGGGCTCAAGCAATCCTGCTGCCTCAGCCTCTCAAGTAGCTGGGACTACAGGCCCGTGCCACCATGCCCAGCTAATTTTTTTCTATATATATTAATTGGTCAATTAATTTCTATTTATAGTAGAGACAGGGTCTCGCTCTTGCTCAGGCTGGTTTCGAACTCCTGACCTCGAGCAATCACCCGCCTCGGCCTCCCAGAGTGCTAGGATTACAGGTGTGGGCCACCTCGCCCAGCCGGTTACTGGTTTATTATTAAGGATATAACTCAGGAGCAGCCAGATGGAAGCAATGTATAAGACAAGGTATGGGAGAGGAGGCACCAAGTTTCCATGACTCTCTGGGTGTGCTTCGCTCCCAACACCTTGACATGTTCACCAACCTGAACCTCATCAATTCTGTTGTTTGAGAGTTTTTATAAGCTGGGTGTAAGAGGTGGTGCATACTTGTAGTACCAGCTACTTGGGAGGCTGAGATGGGAGGTTCTCTAGAACCCAGGAATTTGAGACCAGTCTGGGTGATATAGCCAGACCCTATCTCACAAAAGGAGAGTTTTAATAGAGCTTAATCTTTAGTTTATTTCTCCTTTCAGTTCCAACCCTCTAATCACTTGGTCTTTCTGGTGACCAGGTTCATCCTTAAGGTATCTAGGGGTTACCTCATGAGCAGAAACTCAGATGTATCATAGGCGCTCCTTACAAGCAACATTCCTATCAGGAAATTCCAAGAGTTTTAGGCACTCTGCCATGAACTGGGGGCAATGACCAAACATATTTCTTATTATACCACGTTTACATATCCCTTTCTATATACCAGACTGTGACATAATAAATATGTATTTGGTCTCTGCCCCTAAAACCTTTGGAATCCCTGAAGTGATGTTTTTGTATGCAAATGAGATGACGGTGGCTGGGGCTCTAGGATAGCTTGTAGAGGGGGGCTGGATGCCAGAGGAATCAACCATGTGTTTAGAGGGTTGGAACTTTCAGCCCCATCTACTTTCAACCCCTGACCTTCATGCAGGTGAGAGGTGGTAGAAATTTATTTCCTCACCAGTAGCCAGTGAATTAATCAATCATACCTATGTATACAAAGAAACTACCATAAAACCCCAAATGACAGGGTTTGGAGAGCTACCAGGTTGCTGAACATGTGGCAGTGCTCGGAAGGTGGCACACCCAGAGAGGGCATGGAAGATCTGTGCCTCCAGCCCATGACCTTGCCCTATGCATCACTCCTTTTGGCTCTTCCTGAGTTGTACCCTTTTATGATAAACCAGTAATCTAGTAAGCAAACTGTTTACCCATGTTTTGTGAGCCATTCTAGCAGATGATCAAACCTGAGCAGAGGGTTGTGGGAACTTCTAACTGGTAGCCAAGGATGAGAGAAGTTTTGGGTAACGTGAGCATCTAGCACTTGTGACTTACTACTGAAGAAGAGAAAAGCTTTGTGGAACTGAGCCCTTAACCTGTGCTAACGCGAGACAATTAGTGTTAGAACTGAGTAAATTTTAGAATACCTCATCAGTAGGGAGAATTGAATTGATGTGGGGGGGGGAGAAACACAGGTGTCAGAAACATTGTCTGAGAGAGAAAAACTGTTTTTCCTATACACAGGCACTCTTCTAAATGCTTGGTATAGATTAACTCATTTTATACCCTACCTTATAAGATAGGTGCCATACCATTATTCCCATTTACAGATGAGAAAACTCAGTTCCATAATGGTTAAATGAGTATGCAATCCCATACAGCTGGCAACTAGATCAAGAGTTAACACTTTTTTGTTGTTGTTTGAGACGGAGTTTTACTCTGTTGCCCAGGCTAAAGTGCCATAGTGTCAGCCTAGCTCACAGCAACCTCAAATTCCTATCCTCAAACGATCCTCCTGCTTCAGCCTCCAGAGTGGCTGGGAGGCATGGGCCACCATACCCAGCCAGTTTTTTAAATATATGTATATATTTTTTTAGTTGTCCAGCTAATTTCTTTCATTTTTTTTTAGTAGAAACAGGTTCTCGCTCTTGCTCAGGCTGGTCTCAAACTCCTGAGCTCAAACGATCCACCCATGTTGACCTCCCAGAATGCTAGGATTACAGGAGTGAGCCACCATGTCCAGCCTAGAGTTAACACTTTTAACCATAAGCTATATCGATCATGACCTAGAACATCCATTGAAACAGAAACTGGAAGTATCTATTAAAATGAAAATGACTACAACCCATAACTGATTTCTCTGTAACCATCCTCAAGAAATATTGATATAATTTTATAAAAAGCCATTAACATGACCATGTGGCCATGTTCATAGTCAGATAGTTTGTAATAACAAACATATCTCAATATTCACTAATAGTTGAACTGTTAAATTATCACACAGGCACCATTTGGAGTTCACTACACATCTGGTAAAGAAGAGAGTTGGCCTACAGTCACTAAAATGAAAAGATCGCCAATACAGGGAAAATAGTCTAGAGGATTGACATTAAAGTAACAACCACAGTTCATTTTGGAGACGTAATTCACATACAAGTGTGATGATCAAAGAGTCTTAAACTTTATAGTGACACTTGCATAATTTCACATTGAATCTATTAAAGTCAGAATGAATCCTAACCTCTGCTTTCAAAAGTAGAGTTTAAGTTAATTTCTCCCCAGAACATAATTATCCCAATTTTACTTCTTTTAGTTGAACTTATTATTTTAGGCCACCACAAATCCATTAAAACGAAGGGAAAATATAACAAACCCAAATCACCTGGGCCTCAGTCATTTTCTTCTGTGTTCAAGAAATAGTGAGCAATATGGACTGTACTTATTTTGTCTCTTCTGCATCTGCCATGAAGTTCTTATAGTCACAAGTCTTAGTATCCAGTTAGAGTCTAGAGTCCTCCCCAGAAATGATATTCAAAGCCAGCAAATTTCTCCTTCCTTCATTCCTTCACTTGATTTATCTTGCTTCTTAGGAGCCATGACCTGTGGGCTGAAGAGCAAAATGACATTAAGTGTACATTCACCCTGATTCCAGATGTTGTCATTGCTGCTGTGCATTTATCTTAAATAAAGAACCCTAACATTTCTAACAGTTCCTTGACTTGGTGCCTCTGGTTTTCATACCCTTGACAATAAAACAGGGTTCTAAATGTTTGAAAGGTGTGCCTTTCTTTTGTGAAGTGAAAGTGGCATGACTATTAAAGAGATGGGAAAACAAAACCAGCACAGCACAAAGACAGGTAAATTCTTAGGCAAATGAAATTTAGGAAAGAAAACATATGGAAGGTTGCAAGGATCTGGACATTATGTTTTTAAAAAGCATGTGTGCCCATGTACCACCTCAAAAGTCTCTGTATCCTCAATGGGTATACATAGTTAGTTTCAATACCAATGTACTAAGCGAATTAGGAGAACTATCTTATTTCACATTGTGCATTAAAGGATTAACTTTACCTAAGAGAGGTTTGGACTTTGCCCTCAGTTACTATGAGGCAACACTAAGCCCTTGGAATATCCTCCTTGATTAAGAGTGTCTTTGCTTACCTGGGTTGTTTGGGCCATGCCAGATAGTCTATACCAGGCGTCCTCAAACTACGGCCCACGGGCCAAATGTGGGTGTTTTTGCCTGTTTGTTTTTTTACTTCAAAATAAGATATGTGCAGTGTGCATAGGAATTTGTTCATAGTTTTTTTTTAAACTATAGTCTGGCCCGCCAACGGTCTAAGGGACAGTGAACTGGTCCCCTGTTTTAAAAATTTGAGGACCCCTGGTCTATACTAATAATGTAATTTATGGTGGGGTGCCTTGGACCGCATGGTATTAGTTTGACCTCTGGAGGGGCTGGAGACTGAGTTCAGTCACATAGGCGGTCAATCTTATATACATTAACTGATACCCAATAAAAGGGTATCCTGGACAACAAAGCTTGGTGAGAAGCAATAATGGTCACAATGGTTGGCAATAATAATAAAAAGCTGTATATATGAGGACAATATGACAAATTTTAAATCTAGAAACCTAACAACAGAGCTTCGAAATATATGAAGCAAGGCCGGACGCGGTAGCTCACGTCTGTAATCCTAGCACTCTGGGAGACTGAGGAGGGCAGATTGTTTGAGCCCAGGAATTTGAGACCAGCCTGAGCAGAAGCGAGACCCCGCCACTACCAAAAATAGAAAAAATTAGCCAGGCATGGTGGCACATGCCTGTAGTCCCACCTACTCTGGAGGCTGAGGCAGGAGGATTGCTTTAGCCCAGGAGTTTGAGGTTGCTGTGAGCTAGCCTGACTCTAGCTGGGGCAACAGAATGAGACTCTATCAAAAAAAAAAAAAAAAAAAAAAAAGAAAGAAAGAAAATGAAGCAAAAATAGAGAGTTAGAGAGAAATAGACAATTCAATAATAGTTGAAGACGTCAATACCCCTTTCTCAATAATAAAGAAAATAAACAAAAAGTCAACAAGGATTCAGAAAATTATAACAAAATCAATCAACTCAACGCACATTTATTTAACATTATACTCAACAGCAGCAAAATATGCAGTCTTTTCAAGGGTACATGGAACATTCTCCAGGAAAGACGATATACAAAGATTATAAAACAAGTGTCATTAAATTCAAAATATATCTTCCAACCATAATAATTCAATTACAAATCAACTTTAGAATGAAATTTAGAAAATACCCAATAATTTAAAACTTAAACAGCACATTTCTGAATAACCATGTTTAAAAAGAAAACCATATGAGAAGGTGGACAATATTTTGAACTTACTGGAAACAAAAACACAACATAAACATCAGTTAGATGTCCCTAAAGTAATATTTAAATGAAACTTACAGGGCCCAGCACGCGGGTGGCTAAGGCCTGTAATCCTAGCACTATGGGAGGTCAAGGCCAGCGGATCACTCAAGGTCAGGAGCTTGAAACCAGCCTGAGCAACAGTGAGACCCTGTCCCTACTAAAAATATAGAAAGAAATTAATTGGCCAACTAAAAATATATAGAAAAAATGAGCCAGGCATGGTGGTGCATGCCTGTAGTCCCTGCTACTCAGGAGGCTGAGGCAGGAGGACTGCTTGAGCCCAGGGGTTTGAGATTGCTGTGAGCTAGGCTGACACCACAGCACTCTAGCCCAGGCAACAAAGTGAGACTCTCTCTCAATAAATAAATAAATGAAACTTACAGCTTTAAATCAGAGAGGAAAAAACGTATATCAGAAAAGACAAAAAATATCAAATTAATACTTTCACTTTCCAACTTGAAAAACTAAAAAAGAGAAGCAACTTGAAAACAAAGCAAGTTGACTGAAGAGTAATAAAGATGAAAGTAGAAATCAATAAAATAAAAAGCAGAAAAACAATTCTAAAAAATCAGTGAACCAAAAGGTGATTATTTGAAAAGATCGACAATATTGATACCCACTAACCAAACTAATCAAGTAAAAAAGAGAAATCACCTAATCAGGAATTAAAAGATGTGACATCATCACTGTTGACTCTACAAAAATTAAATAGCTTACAAGAAAATGTCATGAACAATTTTAATATCATAGATCTTTCCATATTTTTCACGTGTGTGTGTATTAATTTTGTGTGGACAGTGAGAAGAGTAGTGATGTGGGGAGACAAAAAATTTTGATAAGAATTTTGGTAAGAACATGAGGACAGATACGAACTTGGTGGCGTAAACTGGCTTTGAATTAACCTGGCAAATGTACTCTTCAAGTCTGTCCTGGCATTTAAGGATTAAACCGGAACCCACTGACTCTCCAGGGGTCCTGGACCTCCTCAAACACTGACAGAAGCCACCAGGCTACTTTATGACTGCGCCACATATAAACGACAAACACGTCCACGGAATCAACGTGGTTATCTTCCTCACCCAGGCTTCTCTAACACCCAGCCCCACTTTAAATCACGAATAGCAATGAGCCCCGGGCGTCCACTGACACAAACTTTTCACCCCAGTTCTCAACTACCGAGTCCCACAAACCCGGTCGATTCACATGGACCTCAAACGAGAAAGTCGGACTTTTTTTTCTTCAGACTCTTAATGACTAACCGCCAAAGGCCCCATCACTAATGCCCAGCTTCCTCAGCGACTGCATTCAAATAAAACCACGACGACCCTTCCTTCACACACGACCCGGCATCACAGACCCCTCGGGCTGTGAATCTGCGCCCAGAACCCAACTCACCCGATCCTAAGCCTATCCAGACACCACTGGCAGCGAAAAACGCCAAACGCCCGCCCGAAACCACTTCCTACTCAGACGCCCTCCCTCCCGGGCCAAGGGGACACCTAGGGGAGGTGCAGACGGAAGCCTGCGAGGACCGCGCAGCATAGCATAGCGGGAATCGCCCCTTTATGACGTAACATGGCCGCGCCCACCTCGCCGTTTGTGACGGGAGCGGCCATGTTGCCTGTGGGAACAAGCTGGAAGCACTCCTGGCCAGCTCAGTACCTTTCCCTCCTTGTTGGAAGGCACGCTAAGCAGCGCTGTGCTAAGTGCGCTAAGTTTTCAGAGGACGGTGCCCATCCAGTGCCAGCACAGCGCGGCACCGTTCTATTCATCTGGCTGGGGAAGAAAAAAAGATGTCCGCGCCCTCTGTGCCCATCGTAGCTGAGACCCGAGCTTTCGCGGGACCACCGTGGGCGCGGCCATCTTCGCGGAAGACAGGCGGCCGTAAGCAGAGAGGACACTCAGACTCCAGACAACTTTGGATAAGGAGTGTTGGAGGCGTCGCTGGGGAGGAATCTGTCAGTTGACAAAAGCAGTGGTCACTGAAAGTCTTAGGTTTAGGGATGGGGCAGAGGTGTGTGGAGTCGGTGAGGCTTTTGCAGGTTAGACTATCAAACTCTGAAGGGGCGAAGCCAGAAGTAGGAGCCATGCCCCACTAAATGCTAACACACACGTGGGACTTGCTACACAGCTACCTCTGGTGGGGAAAAGGGATTGGGAGAAGGTGCAAATGTACGTACATTTCCTAATAAAAATAAATGACTACAGTAGAGCATTTGAGAATATGAAATTATGGGAATGCAATCTCATATTTTGAACAGTTTCCAAATAAAAAAAATTGGCACCTTTTTTTTTTTGAGACAAGAGTCTCCTCTGTTGCCTGGACTAGAGTAAAAAGGTACATATTAAAATGTTAGTTCTGGTCGGGCGCAGTGGCTCACACCTGTAATCCTAGCACTGATAGGTTGAGGCGGGAGTATCGCTCAAGGTCAGGAGTTCGAAACCAGCCTGAGGAAGAGCAAGACCCCACACATACACATACACTACTAAACATAGGGGGGAAAAAATTAGCCGGGCAAAATAGGGGATAAAGAAATTACCCCTGCGTGGTGTTTTGCACCTGTAGCCCCAGCTACAAGGGAGGCTAAAGCAGGAGGATCACTTGAGCCAGGAGTTTGAAGTTGGTGTGAGCTAGGCTGACTTCACGGCTCTCTAGCCCCGGTAACAGAGCGAGACTCTGTCTCAAAAAAAGAGAGGAGATATTCTTTTGGAAAGGATCCTAAAGCCACTTTAAGTTTTTATTTTCGTTAATAAAATAATTCTAGAAGTGTATTTGGTAAAAAGTTGTCTTAATATTAATCACAGCATTGGCCAGGCGCGGTGGCTCATGCCTGTAATCCTAGCACTTTGGGAGGCTGAGGCCGGCGGATTGCTCAAGATCAGGAGTTCAAAACCAGCCTGAGCAAGAGCGAGACCCTGTCTCTACTATAAATAGAAAGAAATTAATTGGCCAAATAATATATAAAGAAAAAATGATACCGGCATGGTGGTGCATGCCTGCAGTCCCAGCTACTCTGGAGGCTGAGGCAGCAGGATTGCTTGAGCCCAGGAGTTTGAGGTTGCTATGAGCTAGGCTGACGCCATGGCACTCACTCTAGCCTGGGCAACAAAGTGAGACTCTGTCTCAAAACTATTAAAAAAAAAATATGAAGCACAGTATTTATAATTTATGAATAAAAGGAATGTACAATGAAAGATGAATACTTTGGTAAATTATGGGCCACCTGCTCATGCATAACAGTATATAGCAATAAAAGAAAATACTACAATTTCTTATTTGTTTTACTAATATATTTAAGTTAAAATTTTTAATTTGTTTTACTAATATATTTAAGTTATTCTAAAGAAGACAAAAATTGTTCTGCAGTGTAGTGTATATGTAAGGCTGGTGGCAGGGGCCCCCTCCCCTCCCTAGATGGAAAAAGAAAACGCTCAGTGACCTGACCTGCCAAGGACAAACTGCCAGGCCCCACTGAGAGGAACCACACCCAGATCTCCACCTGGATTCGCTCCCGGATTCCACAATACCTCCAGCCCCTCCTATTTCTCAACGACCTTCCAAGGTCACAATAGAGAATCCCAGCTCTTCCCGCCACAAGTCCCTAGCCCCACCCAAAGGGTATAAAAGGCCTCAGCCCCTTCAAACTGCGGTGACTTCCGGGGCCCCGCTCTTGGGGCCCCAGAATCTCGTCCACGAGTGTATAATAAAGCCACGTGGTTTGGCCCCCCTACTCTTTCTCTTTCTGTGTCTCTTTTCGCCACTGCCGAAAAACCTTACAGTATACATATACATACTATGATCTTGTTATTGGAAGAAATCATAAACACTTCCTTTTTTGAAAACTGTGATTGGTTACGGAAAGCATTTAGTTTAAAGATCAGAAAGCACTTTTTATAAATGCAGAGTCCTTGGGCCTGTCCCCAGAGGTTCTGGTTTAGGAACTTCGGGGAGTGACTTAGCAATTTGCCTTCCTTTATGAGCTTCTCAGAGAATTCTGAAGGAGGAAGCCCAGGAAAAACAATTAGAAATTTCAGGTGACTAGACATGCCAAAGTTAGGCAAGCACAAAAATGAGGCTTATTGAGGAGAGAAAGATTGGATTATAGGGCTAGAGCAAGATAAAGGTTTGCAGAGCATGGTACATACGCCACAGATGACGACCAGACCCACGATCGCAGCAAACTGAGAGCCAAAGGAAGGGCACAGAGAGAAACTAGCCAGGGTCTTCATCTTATTTTATAGTACCGGATAGGGACTTCCCTTGTGGTTCAGAGGTCACCATGGAACCACTTCGATTGGACAGTTGGTAGTCACATGACCTGAGTCTTAGCTATGCATATGGCTTCCAGGTCACTTTCAGGACTTTATGGTATCCCTGCTACTTGGCCTGTGGGCTAGAGACCCCTCTGGATTCTTTTGCAGCTGGCATGCCAAATTCTGATTGGCTGATTCCTAGGGTATTCTCTCCTCCCCAGAGGATTAGGGTGGGGCAAGACCTAGATGGGGAAAGAGCACCCACTTTCATCCCTAGGAGACCTGGAATCCCTCACTATCTATCCAACAGAAACAGTCCTGTAGTGTGGTAGACTTAAAATATTGTAATGGCTGTGTCGCTTCAGTACACTTAGGTCTTGGCTCAAATTACATCTGTTCAGAAAAGCCTCCCCTTAAAACTCCCACTAAGGCCGGGCGCGGTGGCTCATGCCTGTAATCCTAGCACTCTGGGAGGCCGAAGTGGGCGGATTGCTTGAGGTCAGGAGTTCAAAACCAGCCTGAGCAAGAGCAAGACCCCATCTCTACTATAAATAGAAATTAATTGGCCAAATAATATATATAGAAAAAATGATCCGGGCATGGTGGCGCATGCCTGTAGTCCCAGCTACTCGGGAGGCTGAGGCAGCAGGATCGCTTGAGCCCAGGAGTTTGAGGTTGCTGTGAGCTAGGCTGACGCCATGGCACTCACTCTAGCCTGGGCAACAAAGTGAGACTCTGTCTCCCACTAAAATAGCTTTTGGATTACAATCTATGAATTTACTAGGCTTTATTTCTTCCTAGCACTTATCCAAACTAAATTCTATTTTGTGTTTCTTTTACTGTCTCCTTCACCAGACTCTAAGATCCTCAAGGCTATCTCATTGCCTGTTTTGTTAATTAATTTGTCCCCAATGTCTAGGACATGTCTGGTATAGTATAGAAGCGGGCTCTCTCGCTCTCTCTCTCTCTATATATATATATATTTTTTTTTAAATAATGAATTACTTTATATGGATTGGGGATTGAATTCTGCCACAATGACGCTATATGGCAAATTTCCCTTTCTTTTAAAGAGGACTCACCACTTATAAACTGAATTAAGTATCTTTATTTGATCAAGGGAAATAATTCTGGATAGAAAAAAGATAACAATCCTATTTCTCAGAAAACTAATACTTTTTAGCCAGCAGGTGCCAGCTCAAAGAGAAATGATTAACCACTTCAATAGCCACAGTTGAACGCACACAGCCCAGCGTCAACTGTAACCAACAGCCATGATATGAAGGTGCACAGCTGAGCGTCGACTTTAGTGTATAATTTTGAATTGACTTTTCTAATTTTTCATTTATCAAAATAAAATTGTGAACATTTAAAAATAACGCAACAAAAACATATATGTATATGTTACCTATTCTGATTTACAAGTAAAGCTGCCTATAAAGTAAAACAAGCTTTCAGTGCTTTAAAGCTTTCCTCATCATACAAGAGCAAAACGGATTCGTTGTCAATGCATAGCACCAACTATTGTGTGGACTATGAGCGCTGGCTGTGGGCAAGGTTTCGTGGCTGGTGAGTGCCGTACTGAAGTGGTTAAGGAAGTTCTGATAAACAGGAAATAACAGAAGGAAACATAACATCAGAAATGCAGAAAAAGGAATGGGAAGGGTAAATATATTATCAAATATAGTAAGCTACTGAGTTTTTAAAATTATGTTTGCTGGTTAGAAGCAAAAATTAGAACTTCACCTGATATGGTTCTCATTGGATGTAGAGGTGCTGGACACCATTTTCTGTTAGGAGAATCTAAGTTAAGGCCATGATCATATACCACCACACACTTAATAGGAAGGCAAAAATATACTGACAGTGCCAACTGCTAGAAAGGTCATGGAACAAATGGAGTGTTCATACATTGATGGTGGAAATGTAAATTAGTATAGCCAGACTGGGAAACAGTTTGGCAATCTTATAAAGTTAAACACAAACTTAATATATGAACCAGTAATTGTTTTCTTGGGTCTTTCCCAGAGAAATGAAAATTTATGTTCACACAAAATCACGTACACAAATGTTCACAGCATCTTTATTTATAACAGCAAAATACTGGAAAACAACCCAAATGTCCATCAATAGTGAATACATAAACAAACCATGGTACATCCATACAAAAGAATACTCAATAACAAAAAATAAAACTATTTATACACCAAAATATCTGGATGGATATTAAAAGCAATTTGCTGAGTGAATAAAAGCCTGTCTCAAAGATTACATACCTAATGATTCCATTTAAACAGCATTCTTCAAATGACGGAAGTAGAGTGATGGGATCTGTGATTTCCATGGGTAAGGTAGTGGGAGGGTGTGACTATAAAGGGGCAGCAAGGGATGTTTCTGTCGTCACAACAGTTCTACATCATGATTGTGGTGGGATTTACACAAATCTATACATGGTATAAAATGTTAGAACTCTACACAAAAATACACAACACACACCAATTAGTGCATGCAGAAACTAGTGAAGTCCAAATAAGGTGTAGTTTTATTAACAGTATTGTGCTAATGTCATTTCATTGGTTTTGATTATGTAGTATAGTTATATAAGATAACACTGAAGAAAGTGAGTGAAAGATACTCAGGAATTTTTTGTGTCTTGTAATTTCTTGTGAATCTAAAATTATTTCATAACAAATTTTAGAAAAATCATATTTAAGGCATTTTTGTAAACTTCTTAATGCTAACTTATAAACTTAGACTTGGATAAACATATCCACATATACTAGATTACATTTATGAATTTAATATATTCCTTGTTAAATATATCAGTAGACTGAAAGAAATTTAGGAGCCTAGGATATGCAAGAACCAATCATGCAATGATACAAGGTAGGCACTCTAAAACTCCTGCATTGTATATAACATTAAAATTTTATCAGTGAGGAAGACAGCCCACTTTAAAATTATGGAATCATTGAGAATATGGCACACAAACACTGTGGATGTTGTGTACAAAGGAAAAAAAAAGAGAGAGAGAGAATATGGCACAAGATATCCTGTCTGAAATGGACATCAGGTGTATGGTGAGTTTAGATTTGTGGTAATATTTCTTTACTTTCTGAATTCTCTGATATGTTGCTAAGGTCACTCTACATTTAGTGTGTTCATAAGTTTTATTTCTATATAAAGTAATGGTAGATGATGAGACAAAATGTTTCACTGAAATCCTACCATATTTTTTGCCATCTTATATTTTTTCTGTAATGTGAAATATCTGTCAACCATCAAGGTTTTATTTCTAGGACAAAGGCTTTCCCAGGAGCACTATGCCACTAGTATATAAGTTCCCTGGAGAAATAAGGCCTTTCTTCCCATGGAAGGCTTTCGTAGGCTCTCCATTTATAAGACATAATTCAGCATACACTTTTCAAGACATAGAATTACTTAGAAATGTTTCAAGACTTTTTTGCATTGTATCAGGTTTTTTACCTACATATTTTGACATATAATTTCAGGTAACTGATCACTGAAGGCACTAGCACATTGTCTGAATTCATTAAAATTTACTCTTATGCAAATTCTGTAATCTCCCAAGGGTGAAAAATCTAGCAACAGACTATACTATCTTCACCTATGCTAGCACAATGATGTTTAATGAGTTCACAGTACTAACATAGTTTGCCCCATTAATAAGTTCACTTATATGTAATCAGTTCAGATTCTCTGCAAAGGATTCTGTACCTCAACAGAATACATTTTATACATCCCTCTTGTGTACACTGTCATAATTATAATAAAGGCTAACAAATGAGAGAAAGGTTACCCCCAATCACTGAATCCATAGACTGAGTTATTTGATATACATTGTGTGCATCAAAGAATTTGCAGCTTGAATTCATGTTGAAGGCTTTCCAACATTGATACCCTAGTGGATAATGAGACTAGATTTTGAAATAGGATTTATTACACATAAAAGAAATCTATCCTGTATGAAATCTCCGATGTTGTACAAGACATATTTTCTTCCTGAAGGCATGATCATGTTCACTGCATGTTATGGTTTGTTTCCATTATGAGTTCGCTGATGGGCAATGAGATTTCTCTTTGAGGAGAAGCCTTTTCGACATTCACTGCATATAAAGGGTTTTTCTCCTGTATGAGTTCGCTGATGAATGATTAGACGGCTTTTCACAGTAAAGCCTTTACCACATTCATTGCATGCATAAGGTTTTTCTCCAGTATGAATTTGCTTATGTAAAATGAGCTCAGTTTCCATGAAAAAGCCTCTTCCACATTCATTACATATATAAGATCTCTCTCTTGTATGAATTTGCTGATGTACAATGAGATATCGTTTCATGGTGAAGCCTTTTCCACATTCATTGCACATAAAGGGTTTCTCTCCAGTATGAGTTCGCTGGTGTACAACAAGATTGCTCTTAAAGGCAAAACCTTTTCCACATTCATTGCATTTATAGGGTTTTTCTCCAGTGTGAGTTCGCTGATGTAACACCAGCCCACTATTCACGATGAAACCTTTCCCACATTCACTACATCTGTAAGGTTTTTCTCCAGTATGAGTTCGCTGATGTACAATCAGCCGACTCTTCAAGGGGAAGCCTTTCCCACATTCATTGCATATGTAGGGTTTCTCTCCAGTATGAGTTCGCTGATGTCTAATGAGCATGCTCTTCACAGTGAAGCCTTTTCCACATTCACTACATAGATATGATTTCTCTACTGTATGATTTCTCTGATGTACAATGAGATTACTCTTGCTAGGAAAGCCTTTTCCACATTCATTACATACATACGGTTTCTCTCCTGTATGAGTTCGCCGATGTTCAATCATACGGCTCTTCATGGTGAAGCCTTTCCCACATTCAATGCATATATAGGGTTTCTCTCCTGTATGATTTCGTTGATGTATGATGACATAGTGCTTCGTGGTGAAGCCTTTCCCACATTCACTACAGATGTAGGGCTTTTCTCCTGTATGAGTTCGCTGATGAATGGTAAGCATACTTTTCCCAGTGAAACCTTTTCCACATTCGCTACATACATAGGATTTCTCTCCAGTATGGTTTCGCTGATGTACAATGAGATTACGCTTACCTGGGAAGCCTTTTCCACATTCATTGCATACATATGGTTTCTCTCCAGTATGAGTTCGCTGATGTTCAATCAGACGGCTCTTCATGGTAAAGACTTTTTCACATTCATTGCAAATAAAGGATTTCTCTCTTTTATGAATTCTCTGATGTTCATTAAGCCTGGACTTTCTGGAGAATACTTTTGTACACATACTGCATCCATAAGGTTTTTCTCCTGTATGAACTCTCTCATGATCAATGAGCTGAGACTTCTTGACAAAGGCTTTTCCACATTCACTGCATACATGGGTTTTCTCTACTTCATGAGTTTTCTGATGCTTAATGACTTGGGATTTAGTGTAATTGGATTTTGGACTTACAGAGAATTCAATTGCAGAATGAAGTTCTTCATATTGATCATGAAGAAATGATTTCCCATATTCATTAAATTTAGTAGAATTTTTAATTTCATAGCTTTTGTTCTGGTCCACTAAAATTAAATTTGATTTCAAAGTTTTTATATATAATTCAAACATATCATGATTTTCCCTGAAAGAAAAATGACTTTTGGTTTGAGGAACAATATTTCTAAATGCATTGTGTTCATGGTATTGTTCCATAGTCTTCAGTATTCTTTGATTTTTCAAGTGAACCTGCAAATGATCATCAACTTTGTTGTTTTCTAGGAAAGAAGAGAAGAATGGAATCCTTTCATGATTTTGTTTTGGGGCTAAAACTGTTTTTCGTAAAAAAAAAAAAAATACTCAGTGTTTTCAAATATCGCTTTTTAGTGACAACACTATGATAACAATATACAAGCAACTCCATATATAAATGTTCCTTATTGCTTATGCTTCGGTTAAAAACACAAAACAAACCAAAATGTAAAAGCAGTTTGTGGACAAATAAGGTTAGGCATTTGACAATCTGTATAGATTTGACTACTTTCTAAATAGGACCTTATAAAATATGCAGATATAGTAAAATACAGCAAGTTATTATTACAAGCAAACAACAGGTTAGGAGATACACTATTTCATAAAACTTAGAGAGATACCAGACCACAAAGGCAGAAGAGACAACTGATCCAAAACGGTAAGGGTTGTATTTATTCTCTTCACAAATATTTATTGAATGGCTCACATGGAAAAGGCATTCTGCAGGTATTTGTGATATACAAAATATGCCTTATTTCCACTGATATCAAATTCTAGCTAGGAGAAACGAATAAACAAGAAGCAATTAAAAAGAAAGGAGTTGGGGCCAGGCGAGGTAGCTCATGCCTGTAATCCTAGCACTCTGGGAGGCCAAGGTGGGCAGATTGCTCAGGGTCAGGAGTTCGAAACCAGCCTGAGCAAGAGCGAGACCCCGTCTCTACTATAAATAGAAATAAATTAATTGGCCAACTAATATATGTAGAAAAAATCAGCTGAGCAAGGTGGCGCACGCCTGTAGTCCCAGCTACTCAGGAGGCTGAGGCAGTACGATAGCTTGAGCTCAGGAGTTTGAGGTTGCTGTGAGCTAGGCTGACGCCATGGCCTACTCTAGCCTGGACAAACAAGCGAGACTCTGTCTCAAAAAAAAAAGAAAAGAAAAGAAAAAAGAACGGAGTTGAACTTGTTAACTGTGTTTCGAAGAAGCAGTGGAGATGGTGAGAGGTGGAGGAAACAGTATATATTTACAAAAAGAAGACACAAGGTTAAATGATGAATTCAGTGGGGAGAGTGGATAATGAAAAGTAAAGAATCAAGGATTACTTTACTAACTATATGGCTTGAGCCACTAGGTAAGTGAAAGCATCTTATAATGATATTGGGAATATTATACTGCAGTCCAGAATTGTAAGATAAAGTATAAATTATGGGCCGGGCGCAGTGGCTCACGCCTGTAATCCTAGCACTCTGGGAGGCTGAGGCTGGTGGATCCCTCAGGTCAGGAGTTCGAAACCAACCTGAGCAAGAGTGAGACCCCATCTCTACTAAAAATAGAAAGAAATTAATTGGCTAACTAAAATTTATAGAAAAAAGAATTAGCCGGGCATGGTGGCGCATGCCTATAGTCTCAGCTACTTGGGAGGCTGAGGCAGAAGGATTCCTTAAGCGCAGGAGTTTGAGGTTGCTGTAAGCTAGGCTGATGCTACGGCACTCTTGCCTGGGCAACAGAGTGAGACTGTCTCAAAAAAAAAAAAAGTACAAATTGTGAAACATAAACTTTGAGGTGATTATTAGATATGTAGTACAGATAACAAGTATCTGCTGGAGGTATAAATGGAGAAGGCAGTGTGAAAATAATCAGTACATACATATTATTCAAGAAAAGAGAACTAAGCTGGGCATGGTGGCTCACACCTATAATCCTACCCCTCTAGGAGGCCGAGGCAGGAGGATCCCTGGAGCTCAGGAGTTGGAGATCAGCCTGAGCAAGAGTGAGACCCTGTCTCTACTAAAAATAGAAAAATTAGCCAGGTGTGGTACCATACACCTGTAGTCCCAGCTACTCGGGAGGCTGAGGCAGGAGGCTTGCTTGAGCCCAGGACTTTGAGGTTGCTGTGAGCTAAGCTGATGCCGTGGCTCTCTAGCTCCAACAGAGCAAAACTCTGTCTCAAAAAAACAAAAAAGAAAAGAGACTGGATGACATATTGGTAAGAGATGTAGAATGAAAGCTGAGTAAGGTTTTAGATATTACAACATTTAGAGTTTTGGAATTCTTTAAGCCCTCTTAGAAGAAACAAACTCTGTTAAAGTGAACTGAGATACTCTTATATGATAATCTTGTTCCTAAATTTGCCCCTCTTCAATATGTAGACTACCATCAAACTAGCTTTCCCAAAACATCAATGACATTTAGTAGACAACTCCTATAATCAACACTTCAACATTTGGTCTGCCTGTGTCATGTTGTCATTATGTTCCATTCATAATGAAATAGGAAAACAATGATTGTTAGGGAATTTTGCAACTGGCCAGTGTATCATGCAGTCATCTTCAAAAGTTAACATGGTGCTTGCACAGGAGATGAATATTGTCGCCTTCTTCAATCACATTCTGCATGCAATAGAGAAGTCATATCTAATTTTTCCCATTTAAGCATCCCTGATGTACCGTTCCCTCATTTTGCCACCAACAGCATCTACTTCAGTAATATTATATTTATGTCTCAGTATCAGTTAAGTTGTACTAAAGGATAAACTTTCTCTGGACCAAGGTTCTACCAGCTTCACCTTCAGTTTTTTTTGGAACATTTAGTCATTTATATTGCTGTCACCTAGGTGAAAGGTAAGACTCCCTAGATGTGAAAAGAAAAAAATACAAAACCAACCCTCCACTGTGCTGCCTCAATTACTCACATATAAAATCTAAACTAATCCTGGCAATGAAAGTTTACATTACCATGAGTATTCCATTTATCCTTGTTTGTGCTCTGCTATTTCCCCAACAAATACCTTCTAACAGTGGCCTTTTTTGGTTGACTTCAGGCCAATCTTTTGATAGTCAACCCCACAGCCTCGCACATTTCATGCCTTTATTCTTTATTCATGCCATCATTTTCCTACTTCAAATCTAGATGTATCTCATGAACATCATACACTCATTCTGACTATACCACCATACACTCTACCTCCTCTATATTTCTAAATCAATCCACTTATTTTTTCATTTTTGCAGTAACCTCCTGTGTAGTGAAGCTCTAACCTCCCCAAAGAGAAGTCTAGCCTTTGCCCTTGGCTACTGGGAGGAGATCTCTAGGCTCCTGGAATGTCCTGTCCCACAGGAGTATCTTTGTTTGCCTAGTGGCTTTGGCCACTGGATAGTCTAACAATGTGATTTACGACAGGAGCTCTGGGCCATGCCATACCCCTTCAACGTCTAGAGGAACTGGAGACTGTAGGTATTAGCCCAATTTCTGGGAGAGGCTGGAGTCTAAAGGTCAGCCAGGTGGGCAGTATGTAATTGAGCCCCAGTGAAAACTCAGGACACCAAAGGCTCAAGTGAGCTTCCCTGGTTGGAAATACTGTCTGTATTGTCACAGATTGTGGCCAGGAAAAAGTAACACTATCCATGAGTCCACAGGGAAAGGATGACCACAGGGAGAGGATGACCAGAAACACTGCATTTGGACTCCTCCTAGATTAGCAGTCCCCAGTGTTTTTGGCACAAGGGACCAGTTTCATGGAAGACAATTTTTCCCCAGATGCGAGGGGGAGGCAGTGCTCAGGCAGTGATGCAAGTGATGAGGAGAGGCTGTAAATACAGATGAAGCTTCGCTCCTTTGCCCATTGCTCACCTCCTGCTGTGCGGCCTCCGGTTCCTAAGTTTCGTGGAAGACTATTTTTCCATGGTAGGGGTGTGCCAGAGTTCTACATCCCAGTCCCTAACAGGCCTGGGGATTGGACACCACAGCCCTCAACCATTTATAACCCAGGAATTCTACTCCTAGGCAAATACTCAAGAAAAATGAAAATATATCTTCATGAAAAAGTTGTACATGAATGTTCTCGGCAGCATGATTCATAAAAGCCAAAAAATAGAAACAACCCAAATGTCCATCAATACATGAATGGATAAATAAAATGTAGTATATCCATACAATGGATTATTATTCAACAATAAAAACGAATGAAGTACTGATACATGCCAAAATATGGAAGAACTTCAAAAAATATGCTGAATGAAAGAAGCCAAACATGAAAGACCATATATTTTTTGATTCTATTTATATGAAACATCCATAACAAGCAAATCTGTACGGATAAAAGTAGATTAGTGGTTGACTAGGGCTGGGGGCTTGGGAAGAATTTCTTTTTTTAGTGATATAGTAAGTGAAAATCTTCCCAAATTGATTGTGGTGATGGTCATGTAACTTCATATACTACAAAGCACTGAATTGTAAACTTTAAATTGGCAAATTGTAATTGGTATGTAGGTTATCTCAATAAAGCTGTTTTAAAAGAACCAAATATATAATCAGAAAAACTATTGAGAAATATGATTGAGGAATTAATGAGATGTGGCTCATAAGACCATTATTTTATTGTATAACCCTATATTACTATATTAAAGACAAAAACAGGAGTTTGCAAGGTTTTGCCCTGAAGGAATGTGTGGACTCAATGGTATACTTATTAGAGGCTGCTATCATGGGGGAGCTCTCAAATCTCCAATAGGGATGTTTTCCAGGAAGGCTTCCTGGTAACTCAAAATCTGTGAGCTTCCCTGTGTCTTGAAAGATAAGGCAAGGCAAATATGGCCCACAGGATGGGAGCCGGAGACAATGAGTGCACTTTGCCCAGAGATGCGCCCCAGTGGTTATAAACAACCTATTTATTAGACATGGGTTTCCTGCTCTCTCCTGTCTGCCTACCTTTAAGTCCACCATAACTAATCAAAGAAATATAGAGTCACTATACCTCTTTTGTTTTACCTTTGTTAATTGAAAACTACCTCTTAGAACTTAGAAGTTAGTCCTTGAAAGACTTTGTAGATGTTTGTTCACCTAGATAGATTAGAAGCCCCTTGAGAGGACTTTCGACCCTAACCCACTACCCTAACCCCCTAGCAAGTGCATTCCCTGATATGTAAATATGTTACCCTGACAACTGGTAATTGATGTCTGTGATCATAAAAACCTGTATGAATCTAACCATATTGCTGGCGTTTACGGAGATACGCCAAGTCTCCTAGGTACCTGCCGCTGTGTTATATCTGATCTTTTTATATATATAAAAGTATAAACTATACCTTAATCTCTGTGTATTCTTTTATGTCTCTCTGTTGCCTATCCATTTCCTTATCCTCTGTGGCGACCCCTATCTTAGGAACTTGGCTCCGTGGAGAGAAGCAACTGATCTCCTCATGGGCCTGCCTCAACTCTCCCCCCCACAAAAAACAATGTAGGGAAGCGAATACAATGCTAATGTCTAAAATGAACTAAAGGAGAATCAGAAATATCAACTGTACAAGGAAGTTCTCTGAGACAAACATAATTTATGACCTAGGTTGGACTGGAACTGATGTAGAACAGTCCCTTCTAGTTAAAGAGTCAACAGATTAAATACCTTCAAAGTAAAAAAAAAAAGTCAACAGAAACAACAGAGACCTTTAAGAAGAGAATTCCATAGGTATAAGACATTCGACATAACACCAGCATGGCCAGAATCAGATGATGTATGGTACTAAAGGAGACTGTAACCTTAAAATAACATGTAAAAGGTGAAAGGCTTTCTGTGGAAGGAAGATGACTCCTATTCCTCACACAGGAAATAGGAAATCATAGGCCAGTTGTATATGCCAGACGATATTAAGGGAGATGTCAATCTGGGAGTCTTATCCAGAGAAGGTAAAAAGTTAACTGGAGGGCCGGGTGTGGTAGCTCATGCCTGCAATCCTAGCACTCTGGGAGGCCAAGGCGGGAGGATTGCTTAAGCTCAGCAGTTCGAGATCAGCCTGAGCAAGAGTGAGACCCTGTCTCCACTATAAATAGAAAGAAATTAGCCAAACAACTAAAAATAGAAAAAAAATTAGCTGGGCATGGTGGCACCTGCCTGTAATCCCAGCTACCTGGGAGGCTGAGGCAGGAGGATTGCTTGAGCCCAGGAGTTTGAGGTTGCTGTGAGCTAGGCTGATGCCACGGCACTCTCGTCAGGGCAAGAGAATGAGACTCTGTCTCAAAAAAAAAAGAGTTAACTGGAAAGAAGGAGAATTACAAGGATTAGGAGAACAGCAGAGAAAATGGAACTACTGAGGAAACTCAGAGGGGGTTGTTGGAGGTGGGTAGAGAAGCTAAGGAGCCATATAAATGTACTAAGAGACCAGGTTACTGTGAGGGCACAAGATACAAGGTGAGGTTGGATGTTAGAGAAATCAGTATTTCTCAATGGGGCAGAAAAGTATAATCGTCAGAAGACAGTGATTAACTCAAAGGTCTCTCTGTGGAGCAAGGCCTAGAAGGTGGAATTTAATAGCCGGGGAAGTGGAATGAACAGGCAGAGACATTGTGACAGGGGAAGATAAAAGAATATTATCTTCTATATTATATTCTATAATATAATAGATTATATTCTATAATATATTTCTATTCTATTCTATTCTATATTCTATATTATATTATATTATATATTATATTCTATAATAGAATAGATTATATTATAGAATATAAAGGGGAAGATAATAGAATCCAAGGAAGAAGAAAACTAGGCAAACAAACCAAAATTAAGATGGAAGATAACATAAGCAGAGATCAGATCTAAGGAAAGAAAAAAGGGATATATTTCCCTCTAAATACTTAAAAGTTCTGATATGGAGAGAGAGATACATGGAGGCACTGTTTCTATGCCTGAGACACTCATACAGCCTTCTCTGATTGACTACAATATGACTTCTGCAGTTATATATCTTGCGGGTGCTCACTCACCTGGACAGACTCGACTACACATTTCATCCATTGTCCATGGTCCTTCTCCTCGTTCCAACCTGGAAAGTGCATCTGGCTTCCTGGCTTGATAACCTGTTTATGGGAAATGATAGAAGACTTAGACACAATGAATTGGGCTGGTGTATATCACATGGAAGAATGTTACATTTTAGGAACCAGACAGATTTCACATCTGAAATGTAGAGGCTTTTGTGTCAGGAGAGGGTAGATGATAGTCAGCCTTCATATCTGCAGGTTCCACATCAGTGGATTCAACCAACTGCAGCTTGAAAATATTTAATAAAAACCCAAGAACAAATAACAATATAAGAATAAAAAGTGATATAAGCTGGGCAAGGTGGCTCACACCTGTAATCCTAGCACTCTGGGAGGCCAAGCCAGGCCAAACTCCTGATCAATCAGGGTCAGGAGTTTGAAACCAGCCTGAGCAAGAGCGAGACCCTGTCTCTACTAAAAACAGAAAAAAATTAATTTGCCAACTAAAACTATATAGAAAAAATTAGCCGGGCATGGTGGCACATGCCTGTAGTGCCAGCTACTTGGGAGGCTGAAGCAGAAAGATTGCTCGAGCCCAGGAGATTGAGGTTGCTGTGAGCTAGGCTGACGCCACGGCACGCTACCCCAGGCAACAGTGACACTGTGTCTCAAAAAGAAAAAAGAAAAGTAATACAAATAAGAAATATAATATAACAACTATTTACAGAGCATTTATATTGTATTAAGTATCATAAGTAATCTAGAAATGATTTAAGTATACAAAAGGATGTGTGTAAGTTACGTGCAAATACTATGCCATTTTATATAAGGATTTGAGCATCTGTGGATTTGGTATCCATTGACAGTCCGGAACCAATCCCCCAAAGATACCAAGGGGTGACTGTATATCCTTTTATTAGAAGCCAGAGGGTGCAGTACAAATCTGCTCTTCAGAGCAGTGCAGTGATTTCCAAGGGTTAATGGCTAAGAAAGCAAAGTCCACAGTCTGGGCACCCTCTGCGTAACACAGGGCAGCTGTCCTCACCCACTGACACCAGGTTGCTGTAGTTCTCCAACATCACGTCCCGGTAAAGATTCTTCTGAGCAGGGTCCAGGAGCTGCCACTCCTCCCACGTGAACTCCACAGCTACATCCTCCAGTGTCAGAGATTCCTATAAAAACACAGTCCTGCTTAATATGAAGTGTTTCTCTTTTATTGACATAGAAGGAATGTGAAAGAAGTTGTCCTGCTCATATTAACCATATAAATTGCATGCATCTATAAGCCTATTGTATTTTGTAATACATTGTCATAGAATCAATCTCCAAGTATTCCATAATTGTGCAGTGCCCCGTTCACTTAACAAAGTATAAGGTTTTATATCAAATCCTTTCAGTAAAAACAGGTTTTGTGTATAATTTTAATTTCAGTATCTACTGACCAGTCAAGAAATTATATACAAGTGACATTCATATATATGATATAGATTGCTACATTCATTGCAATCCTTCCCAGCTAACACCAGCATAAGACATGAAGAAACTCTAGATGCTAGGATCACAGGACACTGAATAAGTGTTTAATTACTGAATTGATTAAAAAATAGAAATATATAAAAAGCATAAGACACTATTAAAGAATATTAGTCAAATTGGGAAAAAATTCTTGAAAATACATATTAAATATACATGTACAAATATATACATATATACATGTGTATATAGGTATATAGACACATGTATGTATGTTAAGAGAAAGGTTATGATATTAAATATACTGAAGAGATAAATAGCGAACTGGAATATAATTTAAAAAACTGAAAAATGAAGCAGAGACAAAGTGATAGAAAATATAAAGTAACAGAAAATATAAAGGAAATTTGAATAAATATGGAGAATACAGTAAGGTCTAAAATATGCCTATACATAGTTTTTGAAATACTGTATTGAAATAAGGGAAGCAATTTACAAAGATCTAGAGAATGAGAAATTTTCAGAACTGATTAAACACCCTATAACTCAGAATTAGTAAACCAGCAAAACCAAGCAGGAAATCTGCATTTAGACACATCAAACTGAAACTATACATAGAACATAAAATGCAAGTATAAGATTATGAAAACAATGAGAAGAAAAGGATGCATTACCATAAAAGAAAGACAAAATTTACTGACAGCTGACTTTTCCACAAAAACAACAGAAGCCAGAAAACTGTGGAATAATATTTACAATGTTCTGATTCTGTGGCAATGTAGCCTAGCCCTGACTGCCACCAGAGAGAATGAACCGAGACCTTCCTGTCAACTGAATTGCCACTATCCTGTCTCAATGTGGCTTGTAATCACATGATAGTGTGGGAACTTGAGACAGGGAGATCTAGACAAAAACTGATGGGATAATTTATTCCCATGTTATTGTACAGTTTAGTACAAAGAGAAGAGAGCAGACTTGGTAGAGGCTGTAAATTACTAATGCTGCTGATCGTATCACATTCTGTTGTAAATTATTTCACATGAGAAATAAATCTATTTGGAAAAAAGAAAACTTAGGTTTCTACCTAATTTCCCACTCAAAAATAGATTTTTCCTATTTAAAGTCCTAACCAGAAAGCAAAAGAATCTATGAAAGAATAAGAGGCATATATGAAATATATTCATGTCAAAAGCCATAAAGGAAAAAAAAAGTGACAAATTTTATGAGAGGAAGAATTTAAATTTCTGCATTGAAAAAGATATGAACAGAGCTACAAGAAAAATGAAAAGTTGGAAATATATTTGCAATAAACAAAAAAGATCAACATATAGCAGATACAAATGCCTTTTATTAATCAGTAAGAAAAATTTTTTTAATGTAAAAATTATAAAGACAGGCATTTCACAAGAGAAAAAATTCAGCTGGCCAATAAATACACAAGGATTTCCACCTCACCTGTGATGAGGAAAATGCAAAATAAAGTGAAAGAATATCAGACTATTCAGATTGTTAAAAATTATACCATTTGATTATGTCATATTTTTAAATATTGGCAACAATTTAAGGCATGAATATTCCCACGTATTAGTCACCGTGTGGCAGGTACTTATCTAAATGCTTTACAGAGTTCATTTTTTTTTTAGTATGACTTTTGACAAATGGAATTTTATATAGTGAATATTCTTCAACTAATTATAGTCATTATTACATTATTCCTTTAGATGCTTAAACTATACCCTCTAAAGTGGCAAACAGGTTATGTTCTTTGGAGTATGATTCCATTGAAGCAAAGAAAAGTCATAATAAATGTGTTTATACACACAGCAAATACATATACATTTGTAAATATGCATACATATGTATATGAACACACAGGTCAATGACAGCAAGTATAATATGTACCATCATATATAATATATATATAAATAATATATAGTGTATACATAGAGGATTAGTAAAGAAGTTATAAAGAGGAAATTTATTTTTTTTTGCTAGTGTATACTTAATTAGAATTATTTTCCTTTAAAATGTATCCATGAGTAATTTGTATAATTATGAAAACATAAAAGCAATAAAAGTAGGTTTGAAAATGTGGAAGGATTCTGTATATTCTGAGATGAGGTAAAGTTATAAAGCAAATACAGGCCAGATGGGGTGGCTCACGCCTGTAATCCTAGCTCTCTGGGAGGCCAAGGCGGGCAGATTGCTCGAGGTCAGGAGTTCGAAACCAGCCTGAGTAAGAGCAAGACCCCATCTCTCCTATAAATAGAAAGAAATTAATTGGCCAACTAATATATATAGAAAAAATTAGCCGGGCATGGTGGCACATGCCTATAGTCCCAGCTACTCGGGAGGCTGAGGCAGTAGGATCGCTTGAGCCCAGGAGTTTGAGGTTGCTGTGAGCTAGGCTGACGCCATGGCACTCACTCTAGCCTGGACAACAAAGCAAGACTCTGTCTCAAAAAAAAAAAATTATATATATATCTATATATATATATATACATATATATATGTAAATAAATAAAGCAAATGCCATGGCACCCAACAACTGAAGTCCTTACCAGACAACATTTCTTGCAACTCCCTAATGCCATATCTATATCTACATTTAAATGCTGGTTCAGCCACCTCTTCAGGACAGGTGAAAACCATATAATCCTTCCATTTTCCTAGGGAAATGGAAGGCTGAGTTTTTTGAGTGTCCTTGCATTGGAAGCCTGAGAAATTGTGTCCAATTTTTACTTAGTCTATTCCCATAGGAGTCTCTGAAGAACCCTGTAATATACAGCAGTAAGAAATCTTCTTCTGCTTTTATTAACAGGCTAGTTCAAAACTATGTCTGCCATACCATCTCTGGGAAAACTATCACATTTTTTTTGAGACCTAAGTGCCATGAAATATTGACATCCCCTGAGGAATCTGCTTTCTCCTCAGTCACTGTATATCATATAGCTCAGCATGATTCTCTTGTATTGGCTGTCAATATCAGACACAAGCTGACAGCTAATATAAACCAAAAGATCCCCTAGTCATGCATTATGTTCCAACATCAGTCATTTAGTAGGAATCATATGAACACTACATTCCTGATCCTACTTTGCCATGATGTTGGAGTTAGATTCAAAGTTTATTTCTCTCTAGACTCTGAAATGATTTCTTATGGGCCTATACAAATCCATTAAGGAATAAAGGAGAGAAAAAACAGACAAAAGTCACCTGGGCATTGATCATTTTCTTCTGTTGTGGGAAATGACCAGCAACTGGGTTACTCTATCTTTGTCTCTTCTGGATATGTCCTAAATTTCTGGTGAGCAACTCAGTCACTGGTCAAGGGTATCCACAGAAGTGATGATTTCTAGGTCCTGGAACCTCCTCTTTTTATTCACTTCTGGCCTCTCCCCATGGTAGCCAGGACCTGTGGGCTAAAGAGCAAAACAACTTTTAGGGGTACATTCTCTCTTGCGGTACATTCACCCTAACGCATGGCCTCAATATTTCTGTCTCTTCATTTGGTTCCCTAAGGCCGCCAATGAAACAGAAGACCCTCAATGTGTGGGAGGAATGCTTTCTTTCTGTGAAACGTGGAAGTAGCATGAATATGAAAGGGGAAGTGTCAAAGGAGAATCAGCACAGCATCATGCCTCAGTAGTAGATAAATCTCAGATCAATTTTAGAAATGAGACCATATTGATGGTGAGGAATTGTAAATTTTTCCTTTAAATTCTGTTACCCTTATAACTCTTTAGAAGTCTTTATATATACTTTCAAATTGTTTACATACATACTGCAATATAAGGGACAATGAACACACTGAAAAGAGGAACAGAATAGAAGACAAGGAATATGAGGTATAAATATAAATTTTAAAAAACAATTCAAAAATATAAATGCTGGGAAAATAGCAACCTTTATATACTCACCTATAAAACCTAAAAGGTTTAACACCCATTAAAAAATATGCACTAAACTTGCAAGAGAAAGGATAAAAACAGACTCTCAAGTAGAAAGTGTATTCATTTTAGAGATGTTGAATCCCTCTCTCCTCCCTCCACCTTCCAAAAATAACCCTTTAATTTCGGCGGCTTCAAGAGGATGGGTTATTGTGGGGGGGCAAAGAGGATTAGAAAATTTGTCATGGAGGAAGAACTTGCACCTGAAGCTTTTAGGGAATGTTAACGTTCACCAAGGCTGCTCCAGCAGCCTAAGTTTGAGCTTAGGACACACCACAAGGACACACACACAAGGACACACCACCAGCCAAGGCTCCTACTCCAAGTCTTCAGCTTTTAACACCCCACCAGATTAACACGAAAACTTGGACTATATTCACACGCACACTGACCTCTCTTAATATTTCCTGGATCACTGAACCCCAAATTAACCCAGAATCCGAAACAGACACCGCACTCGATGACAAACACCATCCCATCAGTTCTCAAATCACTGAGTCCTACAGGCAGAATGACCTGCAAAGACCCTAATCCCTGACCTTAGGACTCTTCTCTGTCGTTGATCTGTTCAGACCTTTAATTACTGACCACCAGAGCCTCTCATAATTGACTCCCAAAGACATCCCATCGCAGAAATCCCATTACAGACTCCTACCTGCTCCCCTAGCAAAAAAGGGCCACCCCAGTGCGCTTCCTCCAGCGCCTCGCACTAGCAAAAACCTACGCAGAAGCCCTCAGAGCGCTCCTTCTCTCCCCGCCTTTTCCATGGACTGAACCACGGCCTAACCCACGCACTGACCTGACTCTCTTGAACCCGTAGTTCTTAAGGACTGAACTTACTTCTCTAAACTTCTTCCACTTAAGGTCCCCTTGCCCAGCTCCTTCTCTAGCAATCTCCGACGAGGGTGCGCTGTGTTTCTATGAGAACGGTATACTGGCTTCCGGCTTTTCCTTATGACGTAATGCCCGCGCCGGCGTCGCCTCGGAGCTGTGGGGGCGGCCATCTTTGAATACCAGGCGTACAGAAGGCAAAGAGGCTGCTTTGGCGCCTGTGACCTTGAGAGGCGTCTGGAATGGTACAATTTGCAGGCACTTCAGCTCTCGTGGAAGATGGAGAGCTTGTCAGAGGCATGAGTTCTCACAAGGCAAACACCGCGTGGGGTTGAAGTCCTGTGAACAGACAGGGCACAGAAATAAGATCGTCGCCTTCTCCTTGGTTTTCAGACAGGAGCCCATCGCTACCACAGGTGCGACGGACATTCTTAGCCATTACGGCCGTGAC